TCTCACCTCTCTCTTGTGGGTTTTAAGCAAACGCGCAGTGAAATGGGAGCAACTAGAGTTTATTTTGTCATAAGGTAGTGTGATTATGCATGACACGATCGAAGTATTTGCTAGTCTAGTACTGGAGAAATTAGCGTTTGGATGCGCATTGTGAGCCTTTAAAGCTTATGCTTACCATATAGGATCGCGTAATAACCGCAAATTTGGCCTCAGATCTCAACCCTGTATTTGCTCTGCGGTTTATAAGTGCGCCATATACCGTGAGGGGAAATATTTGTTCATTGATCGTTGCTGAGTCTTGTCATGCACTCGCGGGGGCGATAATGGGTGAATCTAACGTTCATTAAATAAATGCATAAATCGTGTTTGCCTAAATGTTTTGATAATGTACGGTATTAACTATGATTAAAATATTTTTCCAAAATTAAAATCTTATAAATAATTTATTAAATTGCCAACATATGGCAGCACATCGGAAAAAGGCAATCATTTCATATCAAATCAGCGAAGCGGATCGGTCGTCAATTACCGGTACCATAAATGCTTTGTCTAGCGAAAGTGTGAATTTGTATAAGGACTCTACAAACATATGTCATGATGTGCTCATAATCTGTGTGTGGTTTATACCTGAACTAGGCTTAATACTTGGTTACCCGATTCAAATTGAGGTGCGGCTTATAGGCGCCCGCGGTTATTACACGATCCTATACGGTACTAGGGGTTTATATATTTCAAAGCATATGCCTGACAGGCTGACATAAACACCTAGCTTAAAGCTGCACTATGCGCATCCAAACGCTAATTTCTCCAGTACTAGACTAGCAAATACTTTGTGTCATGCATATAATCACACTACATTATGACAAAATAAACTCTAGTTCCTCCCATTTCACTGCGCGTTGTCTTATAAAAGGTATTTGAAAATACCTCCAATGTTGTTAAAATTCTCCGATGTTGTTGACAGTTTCCCCAAGCAACCGCGCAGCACTGCTGCGGTACAGCGGTACGGGAGTTAGGGTTAGGGTTAGGGTTAGGGTAAGGTTAATAGGTAATTTACTACTCATTTTACTGTATTAGGTAAACCTGTTTGGGAAAAAAAATTTCGCAGCCGGGCACAGTCTTCGATTTCCTAAATGCCCGGCAGTTCCTAACCCTAACCCTAACTCTAACCCTTGTTTACTTGAGATAACACTGAAAATTAAAAACTGCCGAGCATTTAGGAAATCGAAGACCGTGCCCGGCAGTCGTCAGATATATATATGCCGGCTGCCGCGCGGGCATATAGCCACTCTGCATGTTAAGAATAATTACATGCCTTGTTACATGAACATGAATTTAGCCACATATTCGACATTCAAAATTTACCTAATATTTAGAACATTCACATCATATTCACCTACCTAGGGTACTTTGTAAATTCTTGCCTTGTCCACATGCATGCCAGTACACAACACAGTCAATAGGGGTCGTATCAGAGATAATATTGCGAATATGATGCAGGATTTTTTTCCACGCACACTGACCACTGCATCTAGCATCTAAATATTGTTTAATTATCTTTCTTATTTAGACAGTATATAAGCATCTTCCTCATATTCGCAAGTTGGATAACGATACTAAGAAAAAAGTAACAGAGATTCTGAAGATGAAGCCGAACAAGAAGATCCTCCAAGATCATTTGGTCAATGAAATGGGAAAAGTTGTTTTGCTGAAGGACCTCCACAACTTGGCATCTCATATGGGAACAAAACTGATGGTGATTTTGACAGCCTCTTAGAGGAAATGAGGAAAGACACAAGTAAGTGAGTTCACATGTTTGCAGCAAAAATCAACTCAATTGCAGACAATGTGGTGGGGTTATCTTTGATGCAGACATCCTTTTTTCTTTGATGCATTGCAGCACCCTTGCAGTGTCAGTGAACATCTTTGGTGATCCTCCATAATATAGACTATAGTTAGTTTAATAGTAGTGTAAATTAATATGGTCCAAGAAATACCTATCTGATGGAGCCTCGTTTAATATTGTAGATTAAAAGCTCAATAAATCATTTCATTGTGTCATTATAAGCAATAGTATAAGACGGAGGCGATATAACTATGTCCATAAATGTCATGGCTTGCGATTTTCTGGAAATTTCCGAATTTTAATTTAAATAATAATACATTTTTATTATTATTAAAAAACAAACAAAAAATAGAATGATCATAATTTTACACTTCAGGTGCTACAATTCATGTTGTTACCGACTCGGATAATTTCCTGAGAGGTATCTTTTATCAGTCCGTGCAGATGAAGAAAATGTTCGCAGCGTTTCCTGAACTTATTCTAGTTGATGCAACATACAGGTAATAATAATAACAATAATAATGTTTTATTTACTAAAAATAACATGGTTACTTATAAGCTTTTTACAAATAAAGCATTTTTAAAAGAAAAGGGATAACAAAATTTTTTTTTTAACATTTACAAGAAGACATAAAATGACTAGTGTGTTTACAAGTATTAAGACTAGTTAATCATGGGTGCACATTGCTTTAGAAATGTAATTTCCCACTAATATTGCCACATTGTCCTTGGGAGAATGAACTTGAAACTTGAACTTGGCTATATATCACTATATGAGTTAAATGATGAGTAGGATTGGGCTACTTTGTCGAAAAGGTCTTTGTGGAGAGCCTCATAATGTGTGCATTTCATTAGAAAATGTTCCTCGTCCTCGATGGTCGAGCATGTTTTACAGAGTCTCTGGTCGGCTGGGATACCGGCATATTGACCTCTTTCAATTTGAAGCCTATGTGCGCTTAATCTTAATCTTGAAGGTTGAATCTTAATCTTACAGGTTGAACAATGTGAGGATGCCTCTATATGTGATGCTTATTGTTGATGGGAATGGCCAAGCAGAGATAGTTGCACTGTGGATTGTTGCTGATGAAGATGCTCAAACACTACGCCAGATGATCCGTACATTTAAAAGCCAAAATGACAACTCAAATAAGATTAAATGCATAATGGCTGATAAAGACATGACAGAACGACAAGTCATGATCAATGAACTGCCAGACGCGCATCTTCTGATTTGTTTGTTCCATACCATGAGATCCTTCCGTAGAGAAATATCAACTGAAAAGATGGGAATAACGCAAGATCAGAGGATAGCAGTTCTTGAAATTGTGCAAAAACTTGTGTACTCTAAAGATGAAGAGGACTATCAGCGTCATTATATGTCTCTCCTCCGATGTGAACTAGCTGTTGTGATAGAGTATTACAATAAGAATTGGCACGAGCTACGCGGTCAGTGGGTTGAAGGTCTCAAAAATGATCACTGTCATTTTATGAACAGAACTAACAACAGGCTGGAAGCGATAAATCAAAAGCTTAAAAGTGTCATTACGAAGTCGTCCAGCATAGTTATATTTTGGCAGGACCTGATGAAATGTGTCAACTCCTTACAAATCGAGAGAAAACATAGAGCGATTCAACTTCAGACGAAAGTACCCGTGTTCAAGTATGCGAATGGAAGCTATCAACAACGCTACCAAAACCATCTAACACCATTTGCATTTGGACACATGTCAAAACAGTTTGAGTTATCAGAGAGACTTACTATCATTGAAAATGAACAGGGGTCGTATGATGCAACATCTGCAACATCAAAAACTGTCTGTTATGAGAATACATGCCAGTGTTCATTTTTCAAGGCAATGTGTTTACCATGCCGACACATAATGGCATGTAGAAAGTTTCTTCATGTGGACTGGTTGTGTGTGTGTGTTCGGGTGTTTGTTCCAGAGTTATGTGCCACTCGCTGGACAAAGGAATTTTACTTCGCACAATACATGTTCTCAGAAACTGCTGTCAATATGCATTTTAAGACCTGTCACACTAGCAAACTTTAGTTTTGCAAACTCGCAGAAATACTACCGACAGTTGCGTAGCAAACTCGAGCAAACGCTCGAGCAAACTCTAGGCAACATCGCAGTTCACTGGTTATTCTGACTGGAATTCAATGGTTCATGTTCCATATGTATTTGTCTATCTGCAGCATCACATGACTACCAAAATGTCATTGATTTTGGCTGAGTGATTCCAAAACCTTCAGAAACCTCGAGCAAAACTAGTTTGTCGAAGAAGTGACACGGCCCTAACGTCTGCAAATTTCTGCCAATACTAGGTTGCCGAAGTTTTATCAACTGGTCTACACTGGCAAACTTGGAAACTTTTCTGGCCCCAAAAGCTCGGAAGTATTGCGTCGATTTATCGATTTTGCAAACTAACGTTGCTAGTGTAGAGCGGCTTAGAATAACCCAGAAATCGGCTTAATACGGGTTCTTAGATACAGAATCGGAACCAAAACTCACCACCAACTGACCTGCTCAGACGTTTACAATTCTCTCGCAACAGGAGAAGTACAGAAAGATATACAGCATTGGGCACCGTATTGCCTCTGTATTGTCCGACTTTGGCATGAGGGAATTTACAAATGCACTAAACATCCTTAATGAAGTCAACGGATACTTTGAAGATAAAACACAGTTTATTGTTACCCCAGTGACTTATGACGGTGAGTAAGAGGAATAATTTATCAATCATCATGGCGCAGGTCTGCGCCTGTGAATTGGAATCTGGCACCTTAAGTGACGAGCACTTTGGGATTTTCCGGAATCAGAAATATTTTTACCATGAGTACCAATATAGATTTTTATTTTTGTTAATGCTATTTATCTCATGGAATACATACCCACAACGGCTAATATGGGGTATGTAAATATGTACGTTGTTATATATTGATATATGTGATATATAACATTGGCTATTTATGATGAGTTGTTGTAGTATTTTATATATATATGTGTGTGAAGTGGCGGTAATATGTTAATTTCATATTGCCAATTTTAATGTTTTTTGAGATGCTGCCGCTCCAGCAGTAGTTTGAGGAGATAACATGGATACAGCTAACCACCAGGCAGAACAAGATCCATACACAAGTCCTCGCTAGTACACAATCCTCCACACTGAGTCACACTCACGTACGTAGTACTTTTAGTGAAAATGGTAGGTAGTACAGTCATAGCATCTCGCAGCTCGTACGACCAGGGAAGAAGACCATCTTGCAAATACAGACGTTACACTGTTGAAATGCTCACAAGTATATATGTAGTAACATCATTGGAAATGCGGCTTGTAATGTATCACTTTTTGCACTTAATGGGCGCGCGCGTCGTCAACAGTTTCTCAAAAGTGGGGGGACATGACATTGACCAGAAGACAAGCGAGCACAAAGTGCGAAGTAAGTTCTGACGGTGTTGTGTCTGAAAAAAGTGGGGGGACAAATGATGATGTGAAATTGTTCAAACCTGATGTTACAAATTCACATGTTTATCATATATATCAATAATCTTATAGATTTTATTTGCAGATGCTGCGCTCAAGCAGTATGTTGAGAGATTAGACATGGGCCATACAGCATACTACTAGTTGCAGAAAAAAGAATGAATACACAATCGTCCTCAGCTAGGTACACAAACTCTCCACACGTGAGTCACACTCAGTACGTTAGTACCTTGAGTGAAAAAATGGTACGGTAGCCTACAGCCACTGCGCTTGAACTACCGCTCGCCGCTCAGCCCGCAGGCTGTAGTAGAAATCGGATAGAAGGGCTAGTAAAATGTCTGGTCTGACCACCTGTTGTCGAGTGTAGTAGGCAATGGTTAAGGACAGACGCTAAGCCAGGATAACAATATTACTTACTTTCTTCACAATGTTTCTACTAAGCGCCGACGAGCCGAGAATAGTAATAAGTAATATAAAAATTTGCGTGTGGGATGGTGCAAACAATAATAGGAAATTGCCACAAAACCTAATACTTAAAACAGTCACCAAGCTTACCTCAGACATAAAATCGGTCCAACCACCATCTGCTTCTATCACAGCTCATGCCCAATCCCCATCACTAGCGTATAATACGCAATGCGTGCTTCTGTTCTACTTTTCTGTTTTACGTTTCGTGGAACGCTTATTTTTTAGAGACGAGTAGGAGCTTACGCGCGTTGTTTTAAAGGTTACCGCCGCTAGCAGGTTACCGACTAGTTGTACGTTCACCGCCTACCCTCGAGGCTGTTAAACCGCTACACATCCCTCCCCTTTTCAAACGAGAAGACTTATTTCACATTTGACAGGTGCCTAAATATCAAGATGTTGTTAGAAAATTAATATCATTCTGTGTACGCTTAGCGTGAGAGAAATAATTGGAGTGAGTTCGATCCTGGTAAAGGTACAAGTCCGTCTCTCTGGTAGGGTTGTCCTTAAATTAACGTGCGAAATATAGTCATGCGTTTTGTCAGAGGGTACTGTTATTGAAAATACCCTCTTTAAACCGTACATATCCTGTAATTCATATTCTAAGCCTTTGTATTAATACGATTCGTCATCCTAACACTAGCATAACACGCCTTTCTAATTGGCTTATATTCATGTAACTAAGCATAATAACAATATAATCAAATCTTTAAAACTAAACACAAACAGGATAACTCTACTTAATAACTCTATACTTGTACTTGCTACTAACTATCTAACAAAACTCCCGTGTACTTGTAGTACGAGGAATATTACTAGCAGTAGTAGATATAAGTCACAAACGGTTCAAATTACAACATGACTGTCATATTTCCGTTAGGACTGACTAATATTTACTATAAGGAATTATTACTGCTCTTATAAAACATAGTATATTTATTTGCTATATATGTATATATATCAAGAGCTAATAGTACACCTAGAGGGTACAATGGAAAAACTGGAAAATATGTTGCTAATTATCACGCAATATATATTCTACTGAGGCCTGTGGCGATGGCAATGACTTACGCTATCTATCTCGGCCTAGGAGATATCGTAAGAGCAAGCGGTTGGTTTCTTATTGTATGAGGAAGCAAAGAATGCTGGTTACGCAATACCATGAAACATTGATCTAGAACGCCATACAAAGTAGAATTAGAAATAATATTTGCCGTGAAAGCACTATGTTTCCCGTTGTACAGCTTAGGTATTTAGTTAGACTCTTGATATATAATAATTTATATTAGTATTTTAGTAGATATATATATATACATATCATATATACTGAATATATGCTGAAAGCTAAGATATTTCACAGTCAAAAGGAAATTTCGCAGAATGGCATCTCGGAAGAGTCTAAAATCAAAACCCAGATCCACCCACTCACCCTTCCCCCCCCCCCACCTGCCACGCAAATGGCAAATTTTTACTCAGTGCGTAGCCTCAGCGCGGGCACTTCAGTAAAAGTAAAGGGGCTGGGAGATATTTGTAAGCGGCTAGTAGATTTACAGAGGTCACTAGCCTCGCTGGTAACGTGAACATTATTTAGTTAGTGTTCAAGCCCTGTACAGTCATAGCAATCTCGCAGGTGTACGACCATGGGGAAGAAGACCAATAAAATCTTGCAAATTAACAGCGGGAAGGGGGGTCTGGGGTTGCGAAACTTTCGACGTTCTTTACAACTGTATGGAAATGATCACACAAGTATATTATATGTTAGGTGAACTATCATTGGAATAATTGCGGGCTTATTGTATTATATGTATCATTCTTTCTGCACTTATTTGAGGCTCAACAGTTTCTAGTAATAAAGTGGGGACTATGGACATCTGACCAAGAAGACACAGGTCGCAGCACACAAAGTGCGAAAGGTAAGTTCTGCGGTTATGTGTATGCTTTGAAATAAAAATGGGACAAGGGATGCACGTACAAATGATGATGTAGATATTGCTTCTTGTAATTCAAATTCTGAGTGTAATTACAAATATCACATGTTTATCATATATATCAATACCTTTTTAATTTATTATGCAGATGCTGCGCTCAAGCTAGCTAGTGGCAGATAAGACGTGGATACACTACTACCAGTGCAGAACAGAAGATGAACACAATTTTCCTCTGTAGTACTAACAATGTCCCGATCCACACTGGATCACACATCACTAGTAATAAGCTTTATTAGTGAAAATGGTAGGTAGTCCAGTCATAGCAATCTCGCAAGTCTTACGAGTGAAACAAACACATATTGAACGGTGCTCCAAACCTACGTTGAACTTTCCAACATGCGAGAATGAAATGATGGACGGGGGGGGGCAATTAACCTAATGGCTGCTCGCAGGCATGGTCCCGCGGTAGCCGTAAGACAATGCCAGTGCTAGGGGGGGCTTTTCTTCCCCCCCAAGAAATTATGAAATATATTTAACCATTTTCCTGCAATACATGAGTGTCATACTGTGGGCCATATTCTATGTCTGATGACACTATTAACCTAAGAACTCAAGACCTACAAAGTTGGGATTCAAAACTACTTTCATGATCTTTACAGGGAGCAGCTAGTACACAGTTACGGCTTACCTATAATAGTAATGAATACAAGGTTATTCTATAAAACACAGCTGGTAGAAGTTTGCAATTTCTACCATTCACTTGTTATTGTCTATGTTATGCAACTACATACTTTAGGACTATTGTTAGTGCTTAGAGTTCGGAGACATTTAGTCTTAATGTAAAGAGTNAGGGACGGACACGGCGACAACCGATGGACGATGATGCAGCGGACGCGGCTCTTCACCGACGCGGTTGAGTGTCGACACAAAAGGATAACCTACTACATTAACTTGCGAAGTTGTATCAATCATGTACCTGGTCACGTTAGTAATACTAAATACTAACAACTCTGTATCTTGTAGTAGGAATTACTTTAGCTTGTCGGACATTAGTAGAGAAAAGACGACCTAGTCAACCCAATGAACCGCGCAGACTGAATTAACACGTCGGGCGCGAGGAGACGCAGGCAACGTTACTGTCGCCCTATACAACGTCGTAAAATCAAATTAAA